TTTATTTCTCACACCCCAACGGTTAAATATTAAGGGCTAATATTTGGTAAAATTGTAACTGATATTGATAGCAACTAAACTGTAAAAAATGGTCATGATCGGCGCGAGGGCAGATTGCCCCCCTTATCCGGCTACGGCCTTTCTGATTAAGACTTGTATCTTAGTGGTAAATTATTATTATAAATAAAAATGTCTGGTATAAATTATTAATATGCAACTATAATAGATTCATGGTATTTGTATAAGTTTTCTTTATTCTTGATCAATTTATACACAAATCTGTGTACACATTGCAAAAATGATCCAAAAAGAAAAATGATTACACCTCTGCTTCCTCCAAAGTCTTGAGGAAGGAGGCTTTCTTCTGGGCCACACGATTTTTCCTCTCAGATAATGACAATTTCGCACGGTTCCACCTCTTCTTGATGGGTGGTTTTTCTCTCGTCACCTTGGTGTGTTCTGGATTAGTACGGATGGTTTCATGGGCCTTCTTGTATATGTTTTCGATCTATTAAAAGAAACATTCTTTTAAATATTATCTCAACGTTTGTTTATATACACGTAATAACGTATATATGTAACACAGGTTTGTCTTAATAAATGCATTAACATATGCATTTACATTTTCCAACCAATGAAGATTGCTGTTGTCCAACAGCGACACTACATAGATATAAAACAATCTAAGCAGCAATTTTTAATTGGACGTGCATGCATTAAAAAATCGTGTACATATATTCATAAATGCATTGCAACTACTTACATCATTTGCAGAGATACCATGCTTAATATATTGCGAGAACTGCCTCTTAAAAGCTTCATCATCCTCCTCTTCCAAAGTTCTCATATAATTCGCGACGTGTTGACCGAATATGTGCTGTCTATGTACATCTGCATTGAACGACTTCGATTCGCTGTCATAGCCAGGGAATCTCTTCGTACTATAAAAATAAAACGATAACGATTATTGATGTGCACAATGGAAATGTAATAATATATTATATTTTTTAAACCAATATCATTGACATACTAATTCTATTTCATTTACATAAATTTACAAGTCGCTAGCAAACACAAAGATCAAAAACAAATCTCAAAACTTAAATTGTACGTGTATTATAAAATCAACTTCCATGTGCATTTCATTAATTAGTACAGAATTAATAAAAATTACTTTTATTACATTTGAGAAGAAATATTTAGAGCTTAAAAATGTTAAATTATTAATTGATACATAATAAATTAATACAAAGTAAATTAAATTATGTTAAAATATATGAGATTTCTTGTTACCTATGAGGAATATTGAGACCGCCGTCAACTGCACCTTTCATGGCGCCAAAAACTCGTGCACCCGTCGTGGTGCGCATCAATCCCGTGTCCAGATAACATCTGAAGGCACCTGGGCCATCATCTAATTCCTCGACATTGTACTCATCGCCAGTCACATCTGTGGTGCCCACGTACAAGGTATCCAAACCCAGCTTCTTAAGAAGCTATGAAAAAAAGTTTCACGTTGAGTATAACACAGTAATTAATGATTTTATGCAAGTATTCGAATAGTTATTGCTAATCAGGTTACAAGATAACAGGGAACAATCGTGTTTTCTTCATAGAAACATCAAAGCGAGCTGAGAGTGTCATCATTTTAGCAACGTATTGCAACAAATATTGCATAGATATATTTTTATAAAAAAGTGAAGACAACTTACTCTCCTAGCCAGAAGCAAGCCGGTGCAGTAAGCAGATGCATAGTTGGTAAGACCGACTTTGATTCCATATTTGGGAAGTTCATGGCTGTATGCAGCACATACGATCCTGTCCCCTTCAATTCTTGAATAGGCAACCTTGAGTAAGAATATATCCGTTATTAGATATCGTGTAATTATCTCATAAATTTAATATACATTGCATAAAAATTGTAGTCATGAAAGGCTATTCTTAATCAGTCCAAGTTTCTATTCAATCGTAATTTAAGCGTATTATTTCAAATTACCTGGCACGTAATATCCTTGTTGGACAAACGTACAATCAACCTATACTTTGGTGTATTATACTTGTTCTTGTCCTGAATAGTCAGCCGCTTACGAGCATAATAATCAGTCTTTCCTTCGCGGCGCCTTTTGAATTTGACTTGGTACCGTTTGAAGTACTGTTTATTCTTGACTACTTTGACAAAACCCTACGAAGGAGCACTAAGTATTAGAACAAAAGCAAAAATAAGAAATTTCGAAAGTTACTCTTTCATACTTCAGAATGAGTTAACAGGGTAAAGTTTTTTTTTTCATTTCTGTATCAAAGTGAGCTGAAGCTTTCATCATAGAAAATTTATTCACCTATTCCTACTTATTTCTTCGTAATAAGCATGCGTATAATTTGTAATTAAATTGTAATATATATCTGCATTATGTTCGTAATCAATCTTGTTACGTGTAAAGATATTTGCTTATTTCTTTCATATAATAAAATATGAAATATTCACAAAACATAAAAATATGATCTTAAAATAGAATATGCTTTCAAAAGAGATAGTGATAAAACTATATGAACGAAATATGCCGATTTCTCGATAGAAATTTGTTCTAACCATGCGGTAAGTGAATCTCTCTGGAAAATTAACATCTCGCTTTCTCGTTGGTTTCCAATTAATTGTTGATGTGTATTACAGTTTATTTTATTAAATAAACATAATATTGAAAAGAAATAACTCACCATTATGTTATAATTATACAAAAACCCGACCTCAGCAGCTAACCGTGTGGAAGAAGGAAGCGTAAAGAGCGAAAAAAATGGCGGATGATAGTCGATAGATGCCTCTCATTACACTATTAGAAGAGCAACTCAACTGTATATCATACATACAATAGCGATACTAGCGACAATAGGAACCCCAACGGAGATTGGTGGTAATAAAATGACGGATCAAATTGGCGCGTTAAATTAAAATTAAAGAGATTTTCACATAAAATTATATTTAATATACATTATATATAAAATATCGACGAGATACTTTTAAAGATCGTCAACCCTGGGCAAATTTTCGTGACTATCAAAAGAACCTATAGGGTTCCTTTCGGAACTAGTGACTGAAGAGTCGTTATATTATTGACTATTGATTGAAATTATTGACTGTTAATATATATAAATATTTGAATAATGCATTATTAAAACGATGATTTTTTTTTATTATACACTTCTCAACAAAATTAAAGCATCACTTACTCTACCCTCCAAAAATAGGCAAAATTCAAGAGAGTGTCTTCAACTTCGTCAAAAATGATTGTATCGAGATATTCAAAAAAGCATTTTACAGTGCAAATTGTAAACCGATTTGAAATCTCTACTTTTCAAATCGGTACTTTAGAAAACGATCCTACTGATTTTTCATGGAATTACACGGATAGAAAAGGAGACCCGACAAATCTCAAAATTTTTTACAAACTTTGACAAGTTTCCATGGCGCGAATTAAAATCGCATGCAAATGCAGTTTTACAGCTTTCGAAAGAGTGAATCTTTACCTTAATTTGCTTTTT